CCAACCCCAAATGCCTCTCTGTCTCCTCAACCCCAAATACCTCTCCTCAAACTCAACCCCAGCTGCCTTTCTGTCACCCCAACCCCAGCTGCCTTTTCCCCACCCCATCCCCAACTCCCTCTCTGCCATCCCCAATCCCAATAGCCCCTCTACCATCCCAACCCCAGCTGCCTCTCCCCCACCCTCCTCCTCTGCCCCTGCATCGTGTCCACATCCATCAGCCTCCCCACCACCTCGGCCTTTTGGGACACCAAGGCCACGCTCGTGGTGTCTCCAAGCCCAGCACGGCTCATCCTCCAGGCAGGACCCTCTGGGGGCAGGAGGGCAGGCTCGATCAGCAGGACCTTGGGAAGCTGCCCAAGAGTTGGAAGGCGCAGCAGACCCACCTGGAGCAAACTGTCCGCCAGGTTCTCAGACTGAGCCACCTCCCGGGCCAGCTCCTCGAAGAACCTCATGTCCACGTGCCCCCCCCGGCACAGCAGGACGCCGATGTCCTTGAACACGAAGTCGAAGTTCTGCCCGCTGGACAGGGCCCACTCAAAGACCCTCATGGTGGCTTTGACGCACATCACGACAGTGGCCTTGGGCACGTGCAGGCGCAGGGCAACCTCAGCACAGAGCAGCTCGTCGGCTTTGGAGAGCTCTGGGGAGAAACCACCCCACGGCAACATCACCCGCTCAGCCCTTGTGGGATCACGAGCCACCCCAGAGCCACCAACCCTCCCACCACATGGCAACATCACCTGCTCAGCCCTCGCGGGGTCACGGCCACCCCAGAGCCACCAATCCTTGTTGCAGGATTCAAATTGTGTGAACAATTTCTATTGCATTTCTGTAGGCCTTGCTTGACGTGACTTTAGAAGTTGTAAGCTGTAAATGTTTATACTTATAGACTGTGTGAAAATATGCAATGTTTATACTTGTTAGCTGTGTGTCTAATTATAAGGTTTGAGAACATAGTATGTTTATAGCAAGAAAACCTTGAGAAAGTACAGATAAAGGTGCACCTGCAGATTTCAGAAAGCCCCTAATTATGAAAGCCTCTACATGCCAAGTGTGATGTCAGGCCGCGTGGACAGAACATCAGGTCCAATGAACTGGAGACATGAGACGCGTGTACAGACTGAGCTATCCAATCACCTTGTTGTAAGCATGTGCCCCAAAACAAACTAAACTGTATAAAAGTTGACTTATTTAAATAATAAATTGGACATTTTGCCTGATCATATTGGTCGTTTGCATGTGTTCCTGAGCTCTCCGCCCACCAACCCTCCCACCACAGGGACGAGGATCCAGCAGCAAATGTTGTGCCTCTGTGGGCCTGTGCAGTGACTCCCAGGAACACCTCCAAGAGAGCTGCCCAGCAGCACCAGCACCCCTGGGATTTAGGGTGCCCTGGAGCTGCTGGCAGGGCCCCAGCTGTGTCCAGGGCTCATCTTACCAGGCACCAGTCTGTTCCCATGAGGGAGCTTGTTCCCCACCAGGAATGGCTTGTCCACGTCGAACTCGGGACTGTCAACCAAGAAACCTTCCAGTTTTCCCTGCCAGACGGGTTTTTTCATGATGTGGATGGTCCCCAGGCCCATCAGCCCGACCCTCTGGAATCAAAGGCAGGTGATAAGCAAGGCCAGGAGCTTCTCAGAAAGCAGACAGGGGTAAAGGCTTCTGTGGACTTCACTGGGGGGGATCTGTGGCCTTTCCAGCCCTGTTGCTGCAAGGCCTGAGATGGAGCCCTCAGAAAAGCCTCGCACCACGGCTGGTTCCTCGCTCCCTGCAGGGTGCAGGACACACGGATCCCAGGAAGGCCCAAGGAGTGCCAAGAGTTGAGAATTGTCAGAGCACTGCCTGGGCTCTCCCACTGGGTGTTCCTCCCTTCCAGCTGTGCTGGAAAAGACTCCAAAAAAAGAAATCCAACATTTTCCTGCTAAAGTGCTGCTTGTCTCTCTCTCCAGCTGCATGGGCTGCCTGGGACACTTAAGACAGATGAGCAAGGACCAGGCAGGACAGGGAAGAGTCAAGAAACCCCCATGGCCTGAGGGAGGACGAGGAAACCAACCCCACCTTCTTCAGCAGCAGGTCTTGGCGGCAGCACTCGGACGCACAGTCCCAAATTTTAGTGATTACTGTTGGAAAAAGAGAAGGAAGGGCCACGTTGAGGTTATGAAGATCATCATTCCCCCTCGCCTTCCTAACCTCACATCCCCTTCTCCACAGGGACTCTCCCTGGGGAAAGCCACCAACACATTTATTACTGGTGACTGGAGCAGCCTCCCAATCAGTGTAGCCTCTAAAATCAAGAATGGCTAATGAAGGATATACAAAAGCAAAGTAATTTTCTTTCTAATTCATCATATTTTCTGATTCCCCAAACCCCATATCTGTTCTTTCCTCATATTTGCTGATTTTCTAAAAAAACATATATTTTTTTAATTTTGCAGTAAAATCAAGGTCCACAGAAGGGCCCTGGTAATGAGTCACCTTTTCCGAACTTGCAGTGAAGGATTCTGCAATTCAAACACCAAAATTGGCACAAGTGGGACTGTTTGAGTGACTGTGGAAACACCAGATGGGAATACCAGGAGAAGACAGTCAGGAATGGCACATTTGGGCAACTGGGGAGCCAGATGCTGGAGAGCAGTGCCAGGAAAGGGCCCTGGGGGTCCTGGTGGTGCCAGTTGGCCCTGGGTCAGCAGTGCCCTGGCAGCCAGGAGGGACATCCCTGTCCTGGGGGCATCAGAGAGGGGATTGTCCTGCTCTGCTCTGCCCTGGGGCGGCCTCACCTCAACATTGGGGCAGTTTGGGGGGACACAATGTCAGGAAGATATTGGGCCATTAGAGAGTGTCCAAATGAGGTGACAGAGATGGGGAAGGGCCTTGATTTGAAGCCGTGTGAGGACACTGAGGGCACTTGGTGTGTTCAGCTGGAGAAGAGGGGACTGAGGGGAGACCTCACTGCAGTTCCA